GCCAGTTGTCCTTCCTTACCTTCACGGCTTGCCGACGGCCATATTTCAACAGGATAATGCGCGACCACACGTGGCACGCATTGTCCAAAGGTTCTTCGTCAGTCGCCAGATTGAATTGCTTCCCTGGTCGGCTCGCTCTCCGGAGCTTTCGCGGATAGAAAACATGTGGTCCATGGTTGCTGAACGATTGACCCAGATTACATCCCAAGCTGCAACACCAGATCAACTTTGGCAACGTGTGGAGCTGCTTGGTCTGCTGTATCCCAAGAACACATCCAAAGTCTGAATCAATGCCGAGGCGTGTGGCAGCCTTGGCAGTGATCTCCAACAATGGCGACTGCTCTGGCTACTGATTCTGGAAGGAGCCACACTTCACAGAAGTCTATAAATTTAATCATTTGATACTTGGTTAACATGTTATCTACTAAATAAATTTTGTTGTGATATCTCTCGTCTTTCTTAGTGTTGCAATTTGGGTGGCCAGCAGTGTATTTTGTCAAAATTATTTATTGCTATAGCATCATTAATATCTGTAAAACATATTAGTAAAGCAATTTTATTGGAAGTAATATTCCTTTGTGAATAATGTAAAGATTACATAAATGAATGGAATAGGAAGTCCCCATAGGAATTTGTCCAATTTAATTTGTTCAAAATAGTCTCTAAACTGCATGTGATTATTAAAAGGCGTACAACTAAAATGTCTTTTCCAATTATCTTCCGAACTAACTGTAAGAATTTAAAGAAAAACTTTACAAAGAGCTAAAACACTGCTGTAAATTTTAGTTAATGCGAGAAATCTGTAGAAATTTTCTAGATCATATTTCTTCTACTTCCAAAATTTTAAGTGCAGAATTAATAGAATGTTATGTTGTTAATTTTATATACGTATGTGTATATGTGTGTGTGTGTGATAATTTGAGTAGGAGGAATCCGATAATTTAACAGATTGTGTAGTCTTAGACGGCTGAGTGGAAAGACGAAACGACGACTCTGATAAAAAAAAGAGTTTTGAAGAAATCCCATTCTTTATTTTCACGCATATAAAACCATCTTAGTAGACATTTATTCGATCATAATGAAATACGATATATTTTATATACACTAGTTTTAAAAGTAATACGTAAGTATATAAGCTAGGTAAAGCAGAGCGGTGTTGGCAGAGCAGAAATTAGGGAAGGGAAGCATGATATAGTTATTGTGCCAAGAGTATTTATACTAAACCTGATGCCTAAGTACAGCTAATCTGTGATTGTTTAAGTTTAGTTTGTTATGTAACATAGAAGGATCTCGAATTTGGGAGAACAGATGAATTTAGGGGTAGAGAACCAAATCTAGAATAGTTAATTTTCAGGTCGCCAATTATTCTTATAGCAGCCATCTTATTTTGTTATATCTTACATATATATATATATATAATGTTGTATGATCTTAAATTACTCCAAATTTCAAATTATTCCAAAACATCTTTCAAAATATAACTTACCAATGTATATATATAGCGTGTGATAGAATTTATAGTCACAACTGTAAGAAATGATAGAACAAGGCAAAATTAGAAATTTTTATAACACAGTGTTAAGTAGAATGTCATAAGGAACACGAAAAAAGAAATACGTAAGAACATGGGAAACAGTCGTTTTCATCACTGGCATTTATAAGAAACTGTGATTTATATTTACAGGAATTTTCAAATGAATACCTTGCCACCAGAATTAACGTCGCTGCTGAAAATATTTGTTGTATGCCGTGTGCATACGAGTTTTTTAATTTCCGCTTTGATGCATTATTTTGGAATATACAACAAAATATATAAACTGTGATGAAGCTATAGTTATCTGATTACAAATTCGAACATGTCGATGCATAATTATATCAAAATTACAATTTAATGGTCTTGTCTAATATTGCGGTAAAATACAGACCAGTTTAACCTTTTGAAGACGGGATGGCCATTATAGTGGCCATAGAGTCCTCTCTTTAAAAAGACGGGGCTGTCCACTTTAGTGGCCATGTCTTTATCCCCCATTTTCCAGGCTGAAAAGTGGGGTGAAACGTCAAATTTGACGTCCCTGGGGTTTTAACCACTTATTTCTTTCAAAGGTCTTCTTTTTGCGACATAGGTGCACCCCTCTGAGAATCCATTAAACTACACACAAGAATCTTTGTTGCAAATAGGAGGTGATTTCTTAAAGGGGGGGAAAGCATTCGGTTCAAGATTCCCCGTCCTTTGGTAGCTTTTACCGCTACCAAAGCCCCGGCCTCAAAAGGTTACAACTTTTTGACCAGCCTTCACACGGGGGAAAAGATTCTTTCAAGAGTATAACATTTCATACTAAATAATTTACTATAGAGTCATTATTATTATTATTATTATTTTTAGCAGGAGACATGAAAAATGTGACGTCCTCTCGCTTGGATTCGAACACTGAAGCTCCTGACTAACGTCGCTGCAGCCAAAACTGCTGTCAAATTATGCTACGAATGCACGTGGTAAGGAAAGATAAAATACTTTATATAGTAACCTCTCAAAGGGCGACTAGAGAGGAAGGAATGCAGTGGCCAAATCCTGATGGGGACGAATTATCATCCACTGTCTTTTAATTCGGGAGCCGCTTGTAAAGTCATCTTTTTTTTTTTGGGGGGGGGTAGAAAGAAACATGAAAAGTGTGAATGTGTAATACCAGTATTCGAACAATGGCACTTCCCATAGCCAGCCGGATGTCCTACTCTATTACAATACGAAGGTACACCGCAAGGAAAGATAAAATAAATTATAAGACAATGTTAATAACAGTATAAGAAGTTTTTCATATTTTGTAGTTTCATTTTAGGCTTCCTAACTCTTCTCGAATAGCAGTCTTTATGACAATGTAATCCGACTAAATTGTACATAATTATAGTAATACGGTGAGAAATTCTCTAGCTTCTCTAATTTAAGTTTAAACTTTCAGATACGTTCTGAATTTTTTAAACAAAATAATACACCAAACACGTTTATTAATATTAATTATTAATACATTTAAACTGTGCAATTTCCACCAAAGCTATTCTCAGCTGCTGTGAAAATAAAAGACGAAGAACGTTTACAGTTTTATCTCCCTACTTACCTGTTCCAATAAAAGCTACATGGAGATAATTAACTATATGCTAGAAATTAAAAATGAGAAAATACTTTGATTTATTTTCTAACTTACGGTTAATATATTTATTTAAAATGTATTAGCTCCTTCAAAGTTTTCCAGAAGAAAGAGGTAAGCCGTCCCCTTTATTGCAACTAATCCCTAAATTATTAAAGTATATTATGTCAAGATTATCAAAGGAATTTGAGACATGAGGCATCCCTATTATAAAAATTATTATAAATGCCTAAATTTAAGCTGTCATCGTAAATTGACTAACAGAAGCAATTAAATTCATCACATTCGCTGAACAGTTATAAATATGTGTAAAAATGGGAAAAGCAATTTTCTGTCGCTCATGAATAGAGTTAACCCACCACGTTTCTTATTCTAGTCATTATATAATTATGTTCGATAATTAATTCGTTAGAATTAGGTGGCATCCGTCATATTACATGTTTTCCTAAAGAAAGAAAATATGCTTTCGTAAGATTATCTAAGACTAGTATTGTATTCTTGTTTACAGTATAATTATAAGATTTTATTTTGTTTTCCTGTGGTGTTTCACTATGGTCGGATTTTTGTTATCGATTTTTAACCTACTTCCTGATAAGCTATCGAATTCGAATTTCACATACTTACTGTTTGTCGATGACAGTATAATGTGGTGAAGGATTTTATTTAAAACTCGATTTACATACTTTTTATTTCTTGACTGAAATGGATAAAATTGCTTTCTATGTTTAATATTAAATGTATAATTATATACAGGTAATTTCTTTATACTGTGCAAGCGCTCGATTTTTCACTGGCGGTACTCTTTGTTTTCCTGCAAGGAAGGTGGTAATTATTGCATCGCGACAGATGTTATGGTACTGTACGACACTCTGAGACTTGGAAACATATAAAATGCCCTCACTGTCCTTTCTGAAAGCATGTTTATTTCTAATTCTATTCATACATTATAGGCATAATTTTACTCTTTCATTCATATTGTTTTTTGATAAAACGTTACACGTCTTATCTTCTTCTTTACTATTATCTGTTTTAGCAAATATTCATACATTAGTTGTTGTTAATGTATTATTATTAGTTATATTATTATTATTATTATTTGTTGTTTGTTGTATTATTATCATATAGTAGTTAAGTAATAATTGATATAAACAACAAAGTAAAATAATCTGTGAATTTTACAACATTTTTATTTTATCTATCCACTTACGAAAATGCTGAGCAGTGGAATTTTGAAACATAAATTAGTGCATGAAATTAAATACAAGAATCACCCCGGAGCCGATTCTGCCGATGTCATTAAAATTACACGAATCGGAGTTATATCTGAAGCTTACGAAGCCCATTAAACCTACTAAACGAGAAAGAAAATTACTCTGGCAATAGCCACATTAACAAGACAGCTGTTCCAACCAGCCACCAAAGACTTAGTTAATGGTTACGAAATAAATTGCAATTAAGGTTCAGCATTCCTCGAAAGAGAAACCGCTTTCATTTACCTAAATATGTTTCAAAGTACGCTAACATCATTTTCTCGGGATCATCAAAGCCGCTAAATTATTGAGCACGCGCATTATGACAAGATTTTGAAGCCAAACTTCTGACGTAAGTGTCCTCAAAAGATTTACGTAATGAATTTATCGTACGAAAGACTTATATACTTGCAGATATTTTGCTAGATATGTTCCCAAGAATTTGTACTGTTTATTTAACGCTAATCTAACAGAGAATTCGCCCGTAGTAATTCAGTCCTACTAAAAGCAACTAACAAGGCTAAGAGAGCGCATGCGCGTTGTCACGAGAATGTGGTTATCCGTCGCCCTCTCGACGGACCGATAGTTGGGACTTGGGAAGCGCAAGAGCAACATATCTTTTCCTTTGGTGATCCCTGCGCTCTTTGAGAGAAGTTCAAGAGAAACACGCGTGTTTTGCGCGCTGAAAGTTTCCAGCAAAGAAAAGTATTCTTTTGACTTATTGAAAACCTGAGTGAAATAATGTTCGAAATGAAAATGTACTTCCAAAATTTGTTGAAAAACTTTTTAATTTTTTTGTGTACTTTAAAATAATGCTGAGTTGCGGTCAAGAAGGGAACCAATGCATGAGCTTCAATACATAAATCTTTTAGATTATTTGCTATAAATATGTACAAAATCGCTTTAAAGAAATTTGCTACATTATTGCCTTTAAATATATGGTTTTATAAATTTATTAATGACAGATGTTAATTTCAAATGCTATGAGTTTACACTTCATGAACTGAAAAGTATTTTTTGAAGTGATATTTGTTACTAAAAATTTTTTAGTAATTTAAATAACAAGAAATGTGTATCTAAATTTGAATTGAGCATCAAACGTCTGCTGAACTTTATATCTTTAGCAACACTGAGCTTCTGTTAAACTAATGCATATACATTAAACATGAAATTGACAATTAGCTGTGCAACCAGGAAACATTATACTTTTCTTGAGAAAGTTTTACTCATTTCAGCCGTATTGGTTTTTATCTCTTTGAGCAATGTTCCAGCTTCATTGTACCAGATGGAGCTCGATTCTCGTCATTTGAGTACTAGGGTGGTACACACTAGATATGGAACGTTGCGTGGGTTCATCAGCACCTTGTCGAATCGCCAACTGCAGCCTGTGGAGGTGTTTCTAGGTGTACCATATGCGGGAGCCCCTATAGGGCCCTTACGTTTCATGCCACCCGTGACATCTACTCATTGGAAAGGGGTCAGACTGGCGGACAGTCATAGTCATGTGTGCCCCCAGAAATTGCCGGATATTAAAAATGAGACAGAGGCTTTAAAGAAAATGCCTTTCGGGAGGTATAGGTACCTGCAAAAACTCTTACCGCAGCTTGTGAACCAAAGTGAAGACTGTTTGTATCTCAACATCTACGCACCTGCAGTCGGTGAGTCCTGATTTGATTCTTAAGTTGTGGTTAATTATATGTAGAGGTTATTGTATTTATTTGATTCAACTACAAGATATTGTTATCAGCTATTTTTTTTTCTTTTTCAATCAAAAATATTTTGGAATGATATAAAAATAAGATATTTTTGAGTAGAAACATACTGAAATATAAGAAATTTATAACTTTCATCATATGTAATGGAAAATATTCTTGAAACTTGGATGAGCATTTAAACTGATTGCAGTAGGCTCTATTTTATATATTAAATGAAAATAATTTTCTATTAATGGATAAATGATCATTAATTCCATGGAAATTAGGTAAAGAATTTTCGAGAAATGCAAAGCTATTTTTTTTTTTTTTTTTTTTTTTTAATTTTTAATTTTTTTTATTTTCCGTGATTATTTCGTTTTTGCCTAGTTTTCATTACATACATTCTGAAAATATTTCTTCATCATGCTTACGTACGAATTAAATAAATATGTCAATATTTTGGAAAAAATTTCTATTCGATTTTTGATTTTAAAATTTTATGTTCATTTCTAAATGAAGAATGTTCTGCATATCAAAATTAACTTTGAAATCTTTGTTTACATTTTGAGACAAAGCTGAAGCTTGAAAAATTAATCTTCATTTCTGAAAGTATAAAAAAATTGTTTCGTACGAGTTTTGAATTAGCATAAACAACTTTAAATAGCAGCAACAATGGGAGGAAATTTATATACTTGTATTTGATTTTAATCCGATTTAAATATTATTTGCTATCTGTTTATCTACTCACAGAAATATTTTAAAACAACTTTAATTTATTTCTTCCTTTATTAAAAAACAATCATACGGTTCATGTGGTATAATATTTATGTCCGAATGCAATATTTTAATCTGTGCAGAAATAAATGTTTAAACTGTTCAGTGGCATGGACCTTATAAGAAATAGACTAACCCAAACGGGTTTTCTCCCTCGTCTGAGGCGTTGCCGGCTGTCACCTTGATCACATCCGTAGGAGTAGGGACGACTTGCAGAAATTTAACATTTGTTGAATGTTACAGTGTGTATAATTGTCAAGAAAAAGCTGGTTGTAGCGCCTCATTTCACAAATTAGAATTTCTACATATTTTTATTTTCGAAATTGAGATTGATTTTTAAAAATTTAGCATTTTTATCAAGAATTATTAACATTCCAAATAATTATAAAGCTATTGTATGCTTTCAGGGCTGGATATTTTTTTAGCTTTTCCTATGCTGTAAGGAAATTTGTAACTACTTCTTTTAGAAAATAATATCTTAAATCTGAACTAATAGAAAATTTCAAACAAGCAATTTTCTCTTGCAATTTTTATGCTTTTCATTGGTGTAAATAAGTAAAAAATACTAAACTACTTAAACACGAATTTTTGAAAGTTTTGTTTAAAATTCTAAATTGTGCTACTCTTTTAAAATTATAGATGAGTATTATAGCACAATTTCTATAAAGGAATTTTATTTCAGTTATATTTCATAATACATCATAGTGATAAACACTTTTTGACTCCTTGAAAACATTTATACATTTAATTCTAATATTAAAATTGTATTTAACCGTAATAATTAATTTTGCTTGTATTTTATAGTGATTATTTTTTTAAATTTATTTTTAGTTCTGCATAATATTTTTTTTTATTTACTGTTAGTTTAATTTATTAATCCAAAGCGGCGGTAGCCTATAAAGGCTGTTAGTTTCGAAGCGGCATTTTGCGCTGTTTTACTATACATGTCCGTGTCTCCTTGCAAATTGTTGTTACCAAATATTATCGCCCTGTATTATATATAAAGAAATTAAATAATGTAGAATCTGCATGAATACATGTATGTTTCTCGCACTGTTACAAAAACGACAGTATCTAGAGCCATCAAATTTTGAATAATGTAATCCTCCACCCGAACATGGGCATCTGGACGGCCGAATTTCGAATTTGTTTTAATCTATTCCATAATCTGTAAAACTTTAACGAATTTTTAATTAACAAAGTCAACGAGTTCAGATCGAGCACTGTACGGAAAATAACAGTTTTATCTCCAGTGCGGAAATTCTAAGGGTATGCTGTTTTCAACTGTATGTGGTTTACGGGCGAAGAACATGATATTCAACAAAGATAGGTAGCACACAAAACTTTAAAAAAAGGTTCCTTTTGGGCGTAATATAAAATCTGAGTACTTCTAGATTTTATTTTATCTTTTTTCTTTCCCTTCATAACGCTCAGAAAATTGTATGCTCCGGAATTTATGAATTATTAAAATAACTAATCCATTTTAATGTTAATAATTTACAGGTCATATAATCAAAAAATATGATCGTTTTGTAATGTTATTATAATTTGGAAAATCACTGCCTGAAAATGTTCATTAAATTAAAAAAAAAAAATTATCAGATCTTGTTTAATTTTAACTTATTTATTTCAAAGCGTCACGTACTATTAATCTTATTTAATTTTACTTTATTTTACGTAAAATTAAGTTCATAAATTTTGCGCTTAGTGTTTTTACCGTTTTACCAAAGTAAAGATGTTTGTACAAGAATTACGCGTGAAAGCGCGAAATGCAGTAAAAAGTGCTTTAATGAGATATATTAAATCCTATTTGGAAAAAACTGTGGCTTTCATAATCTCATCACTATGCAACGTATCACATTTAATAATTAAATAGACTTATGTGATACAAACGCTATAGGTTTCAGTGTTAAAGTAAACCAGATCGTCCCTACTCTTTCTTGCCGACATGTCGGTGACGCGCTCCCCGCCTACTGGGTTAGTCTATCTCTTATAAGGTCCATGTTCAGTGGTTTGTAGAGTCATTAAGTTATATCGATGCTAGAACGTGAAATATGTGCAATGCCTTCGCCGAGTTTCGAATTCCGGAACTTCCGCAATCGCGTCGAGTGTATTTCTAGTTGTATCACAATGGAATGTAGAAAGGAGAGAAAAAATACCTTACAGATTGATGAGAACATAGTTATGTTTTTATGAAACAGAAAGATAATTATTGAAAAATACATTCGAATACATTTCTCTGAATTTCATGTTAAGAAAATTATTTCTACTAAATCTGTGACTAAATTTTATTCTTCTCATTCTATACCTTATTAAAAAGATAGTAATATAATTCAGCAATATATTACTGCAAAAATTAATCATAGAAAATTAATCTAACACTTTAAAGATTAATGATATTATGCTCAAATTCTTTATCAATAGTGTATAGCTTATATCGTTCAGTTAGTTCTTAAGCTATTAAGAACTAGAGTATTAATAACAGCAAAAATTACTAATACATATTAAATGGTCAAGAAAGTTTTCCCAGTTAATTAAAATATTGTTACAGTCTAACATTTTACCTATTTGAAAATGCGTTATTAAGTTTCTTTTTTTTTAAATAAATTTTCTAAATTTTGGTATTTAAATATATGAATGGTTTTCAAGTTTTACTTAATGAAATCAATTAGTATCTTCATTAGAATATACTTGGTATTATTCTATAAATCACTGTAATGTACTGAAGCGCGTAATTATAAATTTTGAACAGATACGCAGTTCTCATATTTACATGAAATTTATTATCTGCTTAGACTAGATTTGCTAGGTGATTAGTACTGCATAGATATAAACCGATATTACATTAGTACTTTTCTTACAAATGCCAAATTTTTAATAATGAAAACGTGAGATGAAATTTTCTGTGATGTAAAGTTTTTTTTAAGAAACACTCACTTAACTGGTAAAAATAAATATTTACTCTACGATATGTAATGAAAAATATATTTGAAGTCAGAAGTATATTATTTAATTTTTATTGTATTATTACTGTCACATTACCTTCAAGAAGCAGATGTGATAACATTAGAAATCTTTCAAAGAAATGCTTCAGCTTGCATGACAAACTTTCTTATATTTTGTGCACACGATAAAAATTTTTTCCAAAAAACATTTATTATTGAATGTGAAGAAACAGTAATCAATAATTTTATATCGATAAACTATATCTTGAAGCTGTAATTTTTATTGCAATCCGATTCGGATTCCGGAAAAGACTTGGATATGCTCGTAACTATATAGTGTCTCTGCGGCATGGGGTCGCTTAAGATACGCGAAATAATGACATTCCACTTGAGTGTTTAGCGGTAGAGGAAGATAGATTGGAGGTTCCTGGCCCCGTATCCCAGGGGACTGAAGTCCAATGACAGACGCAGTGCTGCGCTCCTCAACACTTTAAAATTCGTTGAAACCGATCATTGTATTAAACAAGTGAATAAATTACATCAATAGAGATAGCTTACATATTCTTTCTATTAGAGTATGATTTTATATTATACAAGGTTAAATTTATACCAACAATTAAGTCAGCCTGCCTGAGTCTTCTACAGAGATATACTGTTTAATACTGTATCTATGGTGCTGAGATATATGATATTATCAGAGGATATGTTGTGACATTGAAATCAGCTCATGGTAGAAGTTGTAGATTCACTGTTTTTCAGGAAATTGAAATTGTAGTTCTGAAGAAAGAAATATCTTGTAGAAAAGGTCTATTTTGAGTACTTCTTGAAATAAATATTCCTGAAGAATTATTGTCATCGTCATTTGCCAAATTTGTACGTAAATATCTGACACCTCACACCTTAGTGTATTTTCTTCCGCCTTACGGTATGCCTTCGTGTTGTAAGTAAAAGCGAAGCCCTTTCGGCTGGCTGTTGGGAGTCCAGTATTCGAATCCCGGCAAAAGCACTGCCCGATTTTTATATCGATGTAATTTACTAAGGAGGTCTCTATAATACTATCATTGAATGTTCATCGAAGATATATTTTGATCTCAGGTTTTTTTCTCCCTAAAGTCTTCTAAGTAATACCAAAACGAAGCCTGACTGATTTAAATACCAAAACGAAACCTGACTGAAAACTTTATTCAGTATTCTGGCTATGTCATTAGATTGCAGACTCATTGCATACGACTGGAGTTTGACGGT